AACCCTGACTGAGCAAAAGAAGTTGCATATGTACTTGCCTTTCCTATTGAACTTGATGGAATTAAATGCTTAAAATCTATTGCTGAGTAAAATTGAATTATTGATGTACTAAGGGCACAGCTAAATCAGTAACTAGATTTGTTATCCTAAAAAGATTAAGATATCAATATACCAAATCCTTTTTTTTTCTTTTTTTGGACTGAATTAGGTTGGATGAGCAGCTAAAAATGCATCTAATAGAAAAAATACCACGCTCAATGTAGCAAAATAAAAATACATCTATCATCTGTAATCCTTTTACAAAACACACTTGTTAAATTTTAAAAAATACATCTAAATTATTCCTAGTTTTAACCTACATTGTGAATTACTACAATGCAATGAAAATTGTAAAGTAAGCATTTTGGTGCTAAATTATGTTTTTTTTATATAGTACATGATGAAAGAAACCTGTTTTTAACTTTATTTTAAAATAGTTTAGAAACTTCAGAATTGCATATGCAGTATATCTACGTTCTTTAGTTTTCTGATTAACTGACACCTTAAATGCAGTGGAGATATTGAAAACATTACAGTTTCAGTAGGCTACAAGTCTAGAAGTGTACAGTATGGTATGTCACATACTTGGAATTCTGGTAATAATACTGCTATGCATCCCATACATTCAGCTATAAAATTGCTGACACTCAAGTAAGCTTTCAAATGAAGAATACACCTGGGACAAAAAAGATCTGTCCTGGGGCTAAACATCATGAATTATTAAAAGAAGATACCCTGAATCCAAGAATTTGCTATCAAACATCAAGCAAAATAGTCAATCATTTAAGAAAGTATTTGCCACCTATATTTTAAGTTATGAATTCTCAGTGATAATGAAAACATAATCAATTTTTGCTTATAGAATTACAAAATCCTAACCACATGCTTTTTTCTTAGGGTTAGAAATTTGTTGAATAAGATGCATAGGTTAGATAAGATTTATTAAATCAACTATATGGACTAGAGACACAACTGAAACAAATATATTATTTTTATTCCATAACATGAAAATATTCCCCTGACCTCACCCTTTCTTCTCTCCCATATCCAAAACCTCAGTATATAGGTCTACACAGGGGAAGTAATTATCAATCCTATCTAACCTGAAACCCTGACACCAGGGGTACATCTTCATGCAATCAAAGGTGTGATTGCAGCACCCAAAAGCATATCCAAGTCAGCTTGGGTATCAGTAGCAGTGAAGTTACATACAGCACCATGGACTTCAGCATGGACTAGCAGCCCAGGTAAGTACCCCTGGTCTTGGTAAGGTTTGTACAGTTTGCATTGAAGTATATAATGCCATAGCTTCACTGTAATGTTACCCAAAATGGCTAGATTAAAACTAGCTCAGGAATACCTACACATACTGCAATCATCCCTTCCGAGCATAATGTAGACCTACCTAAGACTTGCCTACATGGTAGTTAGCACAGGCCAGCCTGACCTGACCTCTGCTGCAAAGTCTTACTCATGCCAGATCCCTGGAACTGGGTCCAACAGTTTATGGTAATAGCTCATGTGCTGGGAAGGATTTCTATGTGTAATATTTTCAGTAATTTACTCAATTGTATTCACAGGGTGTTTTTTCTTCACCCTGGTGCTGAACTACTGTCTGTGGCCATGACATGAGAACAATATTTCACTGAATGAACTTTCAAATTAAGCTACACATTAAAGTGAAAGAAGTAGCACTTGCCAGCAAGAACTTTTAGTGAGGCTATCATTAAGTAATTCAGTGGACAAAATACAGAAGAATTAGTAACACACTTTCTTGGACAGCACCTCATTTCAAATGCTATTAAGTAGAGGAGTCAAACTCATCTGGCCCTGCAGGCTGGATGAGTGGTGTGGGGCTGGTCTGAAGGTTGGATGAGGCCCACAGACCCCTTACACCTCCTCCAGCATACCATGTCCGGTGGCTACTCCAGCCCTTCTGGGACCTGCAGCACAGATCCAAGAGTGGCTAGAAGGGATGCTACATGTGGCGCAGTCCAGCCAGAGACACCTAGTGTGGATCCCAGGCTGGGCACTGCAGTGCCCACCCCATCCAGACTGCACCACCTGTGGTACCCACTCTGAGAGCTGCACCACAGACAGTGCCCACTTCAGTGGGTCCAGGACCTGCATGAGGTGCTCGCAGGTGCTGCATGCACTGCAGGTCCCAGACTGGCTGGAGCAAGTGCGGCACACAGCATGGTCCCAGAGTTGCCAGGGAGAGCACTGTGTGGCAAACATCCCAAACCCAGCACAGCATGTGGCATGGTTCAGCTGTGGCAAGCACTGCAGGCACTGTGCCACTCACTCCAGCTGGTTTGGCATCTGCACTACAGCCCCAGGCTGGACTGCACCATATATGGTGCCAATTCTGGTCACTTCAGATTCTGCACTGCAGACACCCACCACATGTGACATGCATCTTGGGCCCTGCCATGGGGCTGCACTGGTGTGCACTGTGCCCCATGCAGGTCTGCTGAGACCCAGGGGCAGCACTGGACCAGATGGCAGGGCTCCAGTCACAGGCTGTATGTTTGACACCCCAGATATGAAGTGCAGTGCTCACAGAACACACAACGTGGAATTAAAATGTTGGGGAAGTGGAGGTATCTTACAGTGCAAAAGAAAAGGAAGTAGATAAAGTACAGGTCAAGTGGAATTATGGCATAGTGA